CCAGGCCCTCCCGAGGCTATCCTGTGTTTTTAGCTGTCTCTTTCCCCTCTATATTTCTATCTAAATCTCTTATCCCTCTCTTCTCAAGAGTATCCTGGGGAAAAAGGTGGGGGCAGCCCCCCCCACCTGTCTTAGCCTCCCCAGCACTGAGATTATAGATGCATGATATCATGCCTGGCTTTTTGTTTTGTTTTCACATGGGTTCTGGGGAGCTAAATTCACATTCTCATGTTAGTGTAGAAAGATGACTTTATCCACTAAGCCATCTCCCTGGCCTCTTAAGAGATTCATGAAGGGTGAGACTTGTCCTGTGAACTATCAATTATTATTATAAAGCTATGGAAATGAATACGTTGGCAGAGGAATGGATGAACTGATCTCAGTGAGACAGAATAGAGAACTCAGAAACAGACCAGGTATTTATAGACACTTGATCAGGAAGAGATTTGACACGTTCCCAGGAATGTTCAAGGTCAAGCCAGTGACTTGCTGGCACAGAGATGGCAGGGCTCATAAGCCTCCAGCCCTAGCTGAGGACCTAGTGATGGCTGATGGATGCTGGGGATGCGGTTTGAAGGGTGTGGCCCTAGCATTGACCATACTCCAGTGGATGGTGCCACACCCAGGAGTATATGGGCAGCATAAACAGGACACAGTGAGTTCTTAAAAAACAGAAGAAATGATGTAAGGAGGGGAGTTGGGGGAGTGGATCTGAGTGGTGGTAAGGGGAGAGCCGGGTGTGTGTGTGTGTGTGTGTGTGTGTGAGAGAGAGAGAGAGAGAAAATGATTAAAATATACTGCATGCACATAGGAAATTCTCAAAGAATTAATAAAATATCATATTTAAAAAAAAAGAAATTTGGCATGGCAGATAGCATAAGAAACTGGAACTGGACACATGAACCTCAGAGCTGGATTATGGCTCGTCACCACAATAAAAACAACAACACAAAAACATAGCGGACACAAAACCGAAAACCAACGTTAACATCCGAGATGGGGATTAACAGGAAATGGATGAGTCTTAGAACTCATTACATTCGGGGGAAAAACAAGCCACAGAAGACTGAATCCAATATAATACTATTTTTACAATGCTCACTGTAAGCCTGGCAAGATGGCACCCGATGACCTGGAGGACCCAGACAGTAGAAGGAGAGAACCAACTTCTGCAAGCTGTCCTCTGACCTCATATTTGAGCTGCTGTACTCATCTCCTACCCCCAATAAATACATAAATGTAATTAAAAAATTATTTCTAGAAGATCAAAAGTAGGCAAAAATAGTTTAAAGAATTTTTAAGAATATAAACAAAATGGGAAACTATTGTTTCTAAAGGGGGAGGGGAGGGACTGCAGACTACTGAAGCTCAGGACGAAGCCCCTTCGGTGGAGGGCAGGCTGGCAGGGGAGGAGCACCATAGTGGGACAGCGTCGACTGTGCTGTAGCCCTCGCACGCACGGGGTGTTGGGGTTGTGTGTTACTTTTCTTAAGCTGCCCCGGTGTTCTAGGTGTGATGTCACTGCATAAACATTTTCCATGGGAGCTGTCTTTTACAATACAGGATGTTAAGCAGCATCCCTACCCATGCCTTCCACCAGCTATGACAACAAAGATCTCCAGACATTGCCAGATGTCCCCTGGAGGGTAAAATCGCCCCAATTGAGAATCACTGATCTACCTATATATGTTACATATATATATCTCATTGTTTTAAAGAGTCTATAATAAAACAAAGTTTAAAATTGACGGGTAGAAGCTCCACTCTGCCTGTAAAACACAAGCAGGAAGGCATCATGATGAGCAGGGCGTGCCTGAGCCTGCTGAAGGCCTTTGAAGTTGAGCCGTGTAGGCTGACAGCCCCAGAGCAGTTGAGGAGCAGGTGACAGATCTCGAAATGGCTCCCAGTATCAGAGGCCCACAACTGGTTATACTGGGCGGGGGGGTCTTCATTTTTTAATTATTTGAGACGTCTAAAAGTTTAGCCCTGCTTAAAAATTACCTGCTTAATTAAAAAAAAAAAATCTATTACTGGCACGTGCTTCAGATACAGAACCCACAGGATCTAAGCTGGATCTGACCTGAAAGCCTCCGCTCCTGAGGACTAGCTTTCCTAGTTCCAGAAGGTGCTATATGAGCTTCCAAGGCAAGGAAGCAGTCAACAGTCCTTCCTAGCTGTGATGCCTGTGAGCCAGAACAATGACCAGCAAGACAAGCTATCCCTACGGGTGCAATAGGCACGCATTTCTTGGTAGCAACCAACAGCTCTCTGATTGGACTCCACACCTGCTTAACAGAGGGAAATCATGCCTGGCACTGGAAACCTAGGCAACTACCAAGGCTAGTGAGGTCACAGGTCTTAGAGGAGAGCCCACTCTGCTTATTTTATTAAACCAGCATAATTCTTAACTGCATTCTAAATACTTATCCTTATATTCACAAATAACCGCATCTTTCACTCCTCATCAAAGAAGCTTCTCCTTCTCAAAAGACAGACCATTACAGAAAACCACAACTGTAGACATGCAGAGAACAGCTGGTCAGGGGTGCCTATCCCCAGTGAATACACTATAACACAGCTCCTACACCTAAAGCCCAGGACGAACGGAGAAGGGGGAGCAGAAAGACTGTAAGAGCCAGAGGACCAGGAATTCTGCTGTGAGGCTGTCTCCTAGAAGTGACAGGGAAGCTATACCCCGTAACGTTTCAATAATATGGCTGCCTAAACAAGACCTGACCAAGGCTAACAGCAACAGAACGATAACATGGAGGGGTCAAATCACAGGGCCCTGCTCCTAGACAAAGAACGACAGGCAGCTAAGGTATTCTGAGAGCTGGAAAATTAGCCTTCCCCTGGGATGAGCTCCCTAATTGGTTTTCCAATACCAGGTGGTCAGCCCTGAAATCATATACATACAAGCAACACTGAATGGACTCAGCAGGTGGTATTTATATATTTAGGATCTATCTATCTATCTATCTATCTATCTATCTATCTATCTATCATCTATCTATCTATCTATCTATCTATCTATCTATGTATCTATCATCTATCTATCTATGTATCTATCATCTATCTATCTATCTATGTATCTATCATCTATCTATCTATCTATGTATCTATCATCTATCTATCTATCTATGTATCTATCATCTATCTATCTATGTATCTATCTATCATCTATCATCTGTCTATCTATGTATCTATCTATCTGCATGTTCTTACATATATTAAAGAAAGAGAGACCATGAATTTGCAAGGAATTGAGGAGAGAGACATAAAAGAGGTTGGAATGAGAAAAGGTAAGGGGGAATGAAGTAATCATACTTAATTAATTTTAAAAAACCTTCTGTTAGCAGAATAAAAAGAAAAATGCTATCTCATCACGGTCAAATCAAATAACAGCTGGACTTTAAAAATATCATTTTGAAGAAAAAACACTGTGGTGATATTGTGTTCCCCAAAATATTGTGCACCCTAATAAACTTATCTGGGGTCAGAGAACAGAACAGCCACTAGATATAGAGGCCAGAAAATGGTGGCACACACGCCTTTAATTCTATCACTTGGGAGGCAGAGATCCATTCGGATCTCTGTGAGTTCAAGGCCACACTGGAAACAGCCAGGCATGGTGACTCACGCCTTTAATCCCAGGAGTGATGGCAGGAAGCAGTAAGGTATATAAGGCGTGAGGACCAGGAATTAGAAGCTTTTGGCTGGTTAAGCTTTTAGGCTTTTGAGCAGCACAGTTCAGCTGAGAGGCATCCAGTCTGAGGAAACAGGATCAGCTGAGGAATTGGCAAGGTGAGGTGGCTGTGGCTTGTTCTGCTTCTCTGATCTTCCAGCATTCACCCCAATACCTGGCTCTGAGGGTTTTTTTTTATTAATAAGACCCTTTAATATTCATGCTACAAAACACTATTATTGATTTTTAAAAGTGGAGTCCGTGTTTATTATATAAAGCCTATTTTCTAAGACCCTAGAAAAGGCCCACATATAATATATTTTATTGCCTTTGAGAAGTTGACTAGACCTGTGAAGTCATTATACACCTTACTGTGATCCCCACATGACTGGGTTAGCTCTGGAAGGAAGAGCGAAAGAGCGGAGGGGTGTGGGGTGGGGGTGGCAGATGGCTGGATGGGTCAAGGGGCCTCTTGCTAGGCCTGACTTTTGAGTTTGATTCCCCAGAACCCACATAGTGAAATCAGAGAGCTGACTGACAGTGTTGCCCTCTGACCTCCATAAACTAACCCCCAATACATAATAAGTGAAATGTAAGACCCCCGTAATGTGGTATTCCTGCTCTAGGATAAAAAGTGTACGAGGGTACACTACTGTACCCTAGTAATCCTCAAGCCTCCAGCTCGCAGGCTCAAACCATGGTCCCATTCAGCCTGTGATGGGGAGAGTGTATCATCCTTATTTTAATATTAATTTTATTATGTGTGTATATGTCTGTCTGTCTATCTGTCTGCTTGCTTGCCTGCCTGCCTACCTGTCTGCCTGTCTTTAATTTGAGGGTGTATGTTTGTCTGTTTCTCTGATGACACGTGATCAAGGAGGGGCAAGGCAAAGGAATCCAGGAGAAAGCTAGGAGGAGGGGTGTGATGCAAAGAGCGCTGGGGGGCAGAAGATGCCTTGGACAAGTCTCTTTGGACCATCATTTCTTTAACTATAAAAATCCATAGAATGCAGCCGGGCGATGGTGGCGCACGCCTTTAATCCCAGCACTCGGGAGGCAGAGGCCGGCGGATCTCTGTGAGTTCGAGGCCAGCCTGGGCTACCAAGTGAGTTCCAGGAAAGGCGCAAAGCTACACAGAGAAACCCTGTCTCGAAAAACAAAAACAAACAAAAAAAAAATCCATAGAATGCAAAAATCAAGTGAGAAATGTATTACAGAGCACCTCATGTTTCAACGCACAAATAATGATTATCCTGTTAAAAATGGAACACAGATGGTTTTTGGGTTTTTTTTTTTTTTTGGCACTAGCTCTTACCATATGTCTAACTCAGAGGAGTACTCCGTGGCTCCCAGCAAAGCGTCAGGTGGCCGGTACCAGAGTGTCACCACTTCTGAAGAGTATGTCTGGCTGGGAATGGACTTGGCTCGAGCAAGACCTGTCCAAAGAGATTGAAGACAGCACTCATTATCCTGGGTCTTTGGGGAGGCATGGTGACACTGTACGGGGGAGAGTAAATGGCAGAGCAGACAACATGAGGGACAACATGCCTCTGGGGGTGTGCCACCAGAAGCACTCGACTCTCCTGGGGTGTGTGTATATTGCATCAAGAAGAGTTCTTAATTTTGACCTGCACTGTAACTAGATGAGGCAGCCAAGTGTGGTCAGGAGACTAAACTCTTGCTTACTTGGTATGAACAGAGGTGATGTGGAACTTCCAGGTCATGCCCTTAGTGGGTGGGTTCTGCTTCTGCTTCCCCCTTCCCTTCCCTCTGAGCCGTGATGAGCTGGGGCTGAGAACTACACAGGAGTATGCCATTGGGCGATGTCTGAAGGACGGTGGAGCCACGTGATGGGTGAAGACACTCCCGGGCTACAGTGACAGCTCCGACCGCCCTGAGTGGAGCTTGTTTCTAGAGCATTACACCACTGTACTGGGGGTCTCTACCGTGGAGAGTTGGTGAATGGCTATCTGCTAAATGCACAAATATTGGGATGAGAGCGATCACCACAAAACGTCCTCCGGATGCCGTGTGACATCCTCCAACAAAGACTGGTTTCTTGTCTCACAAGAACCAGTGTGTCAGAGCTGGGGAGGAAGCCCAGTGGTAGAGTAATTTCCCAGCATGCCTAAGGCCCTAGGTTCAATCCCCACTATTTAAAACAAACAAACAAGGAATAAAAAGACCAAACCAAACAATAATAAAATACTAGAACCAATGCATCAGCCCAGTGTGGTGATGCATACCTTTAGTTCCTGCACTTGGGAGACAGAGCTAGGAGGATTGCTGCCAGTTCAAGGCCAGCCTGGTCCACAAATTAGGTTCTAGGTCAACCAGGGCTACATGGAGAGACTCTGTATCAAAAAAAATTTGCTGAGCATTTAGTACCATACTAGGAATATAATGATAAGCAAAAACAGACTCTCAACTACTTTCTAGTAAAGAAGAATAAAATCTAAAACCACATGTAAGTATATGTATGTATATGTTTATGCATTTCTGTATTATATATCTGTGAATACAAATATAAACTATGATACATGCTAAAATGGAAAGACACTGTTATAGGGGAAGTCTGCATCCTTTGCTAGGAATATAGTCAAGGTGATGTTGACATTTAAGGGCAGAACCAAGTATCATTTCCACTTATGCAGGAGTCCACACTACATTCTAGGGCCAACTTCTCTGTTCTGCTGTCCTGGGATAGCCTTGATCTATTCTGACACAGCTGTCATTATCCACTTAGATATAGAGACAGCACCTAAGTACAGTCTACTCTACTGACGTCACTATCTCAAAAGTGACAGCGGGATCATCTGAGGACCTATTTTAGGCTTCTGGCTAGATGTTTGGATGGAATTCTAAGAAACTTCCACACTCTCCCTCCCTCTTGCCTCACATTTCCTGTATGTCAGTTTAACATCCACGCACAGCATCATGTTCTTGGGCTCTAGTTTTCAAAGGCCAACCCTAGTCAATGCTTCAAACAAATTCATACAAAAGACTCATTGTTCATAGGCCAGAAGGAAACCTGAGGGGCGACTCACCAAAATCAGCCAATTTGAGCTCTCCCAAGTGACTGATGAGCAAGTTCTGAGGTTTCAGGTCCCTGTGAAGAACATGCTGGTGGTGGATGTACGCCAGGCCCCGCAGAAGTTGAAACATGAAAAGCTGGAAGAAATGAACACCATACCTAAGGACACTTGAACCACTGTGTGTTGATTTCGTCTCTAAATCAAAAACATTCCTCTAAAAGAATATAGTGAAAGTGTCTCTTGAGAGATGAAAGAGAGAGAGAGAGAGAGATTTTTAGACTAGTTCAGAAAGAGGGGAAAAGGTCAAGGGAGTCAAGTTAACTACATCCCAAACAAAGGGATTCTGGCCAGGCCTGACATCTTGTTCCTTTCACACTGAAGGAATTGCCCTTCCTTAAAAATCTCAAGTGAAACCTTGAGGTCTCCTTAGGAGCATTTGTAATTGGTTTAGATGTGAAAGATATGATTTTTGCCCACAGATAACCTTGGCATGTCAGGTCAAAGTTGACCTGGAAGTGATAGTTTACAGTTTACAATTGCTGTCTTTTCCCAGGCTCCAATACCAGGAGACCCAACTGGGAAATATATTTTAAATGATCTTAAGAAATAAAGGGGGTGGTAGGATTGCCCAGTGGGTAAAGTGGGAGGAAAGAACTGACTCCACAAAGTTGCCTTGTCTACACACACACACACACACACACACACACACACACACACACGATGTTTACTTTTTAAGTTTGAGAAAAATAAATAAAGGCATCATTGTCTTCATAATTCATTTTTAAAGCCCTAATTCAAAGTTGAAAACAAGGGAAATATATAGTATGTGCTAAAAGGGAAGAGAGCGGGCTAGCTGAGGCGGAGATGGAGACTCTTAGGGAGTCAGTGGGGCGTCTGAATGTAGACATTGTGACATTAGTCACCTCCCACCTTCGATGCTCAGTCCTTTGCCTCGATGCCTCCTCAGGCTCCTCCTGGCACTTGTAAGTGGTGAAGCCCAGGGGCGTTTAGTATGGTATTTCACAGTGCCTTAACATTCTAGCCTTACCAAACCCCTGCACCCACTCGCTCTTCCACACCTCAAGCCAGCTTCTTCTTTCAACAGTTACCATAGAGCCAAATCGGAGGGCGCTTTCGAAATTGATGTCAAGCTAGAGCTTGGGCTCCTCCTTCTAGAACAGTGTCCCACACCCCAGGGTTTGTGGGCGACGAAGTAATCCCATTGAGTTAGTGCCATCTGGGCTAGAAGTCTCTCAAGCCACAACTGGAGTCTTAGTACTTGAGAGGTTGAGACGGGAGGATGACACGTTTGTAAGTTTGAGGGTAACCTGGGCTACATATTAAGACACTGTCTTTAAAAAGGATGAAGAACAGAGTAGAAAACAAAGGAAATGGTATGAAGAAGATAGACCACAGTGGGGTCATCCAAGTCTGAGAAAGGAAGGCCAAGGTCCTCCCACTCCTGATCTACCCCTGAGGCTTGTTTGGTCAGGAGTCAGAAACAAGGCATCCGGGAGATGGCTAAGTCAGCAAAGGGATTCCTGTGCAAGCACGAGGACCCGAGTCCAGAGCCCCAGCACCCTGTGAAGGCTGGGGTGAGGCAGCATGCACCTCAGTGCTGGGCAGGCAAAGGAGGACCCCTGGAGCTCACAGGCAAGCTACTCTAGTCAAATCCTGAGCTCCAGGTTCAGTGAGAAACCCTGTATCCAAAAAGAAAAGGAAGGTGGAGTGTGGTGATTTGAACAAGAACGGTTTCCATAGGCCTGTATATTTGAATGCTTAGTCACCAGGGAGTGGCAAAATTTGAAGGATTAGGAGGTGTGGACTTGTTGGAAGAAGTGTGTCACTGGGGGTGGGCTTTGAGCTTTCAAAAGTCCATGCCAGGTACAGTCTCTCTCTCTCTCTCTCTCTCTCTCTCTCTCTCTCTCTCTCTCTCTCTCTCTCTCTCTCTCTCTCTCTCCTTGTAGATCTGGATGCAGAACTCTCAGCTCCTTCTCCAGCACCATGTCTGCCTGCACGCCACCATGTCCCCACCATGATGATAATGGACTGAACTTCTGAAACTGTAAGCCAGCCTCAATTAAATGTTTTCCTTTATAAGAGTTGCTATGGTCATGGTGTCTCATCACAGCAATAAGACCCTAAGACAGAGCACAATTGAGGATGACATCTGACATCAACCTCTGGCCTCTACACATGCACACACATATGCAAACACCACACACACACACACACACACACACACACACACACACACACACACACAATCAGAAATAGGCTAACTTCACAAGCTCCCTTGCTCATGTCTCAAACTAGCCTGAAGGTGGTTGTTTTTTCCTCCGGTAGCCCATCTCCTGACCACCCTGTGTTTCTTTAACTGAGTTAGTGTCTGTTGTTCTTTTCCTTCTCTTTCTGAAGACACACTAGCACTGCACAGAAATTCCAGCTGTGAGTCACCGCATCCAAGCCTGTCACTCTTCTCTCCTCCCAACCCATCTGCTCGTCACACCGATCCTGCTTGAACACTCTCCAAAGGCTAAGCAGGTGCCTTTTTCTATCCCTTCACAGGAGCTGTGGGATCCTTGCTTCTTGTTCATTACCACACTCTTGAACGGATGCTAGCTTTTCTCCAGCTTCCTCATAACCTCCATTGCTGAAAGGAGGGACTCAGCTGTGGTCATCACTTCCGTGACCCCACGTCAGAACTGTCACCACCTTGGATTCTGAGGGTCCCTTAGATGTTATGCTCCCCCTCCCCTTCTATCTCCCTCCATCCCTCGTTTTACTGTCATCCACTGTACACTCAGCATTCATTCACTGAAGACATGGGCATCTGGATAACCTGTTTCTCATGATGCCCATGTCCAGAGAATAACTCTAGCCAAGCTTCTCGGCGCCTCATGTCTGCGTCTCCACCTTCAGCCACTGGATCGTGTGGAACTGTCCTCTGAAATGCAGCAAGCTCGTGTCCGTTTAAAAAGGCATCTGCATATTTGTTTCATTCATGTTTTCTGTGCTGATCACAATGCCTTTCACTGTGGAAGCCAACGGACAGCTCTCATTCCTACGATCGATCGTGGCGTTGGGCGCTGCTGCCCATGCCTTCCGTCCTGAAGCTCTCTCTTCGTGGTTCCACAATCTCCTAACGTTTCCACCCACCAGTCTCTCTGTCTGTTCATGGATACCACTTCTAATGGTGTCTAGGTTAATGACCATGGAGCTCTGTCCTTCGCCTTCTCTCAGCAGTCTTTTCTTTTTTTTTTTTTTTTTTTTTGGTTTTCGAGACAGGGTTTCTCTGTGTGGTTCTGGTGCCTGTCCTGGATCTCGCTCTGTAGACCAGGCTGGCCTCGAACTCACAGAGATCCGCCTGGCTCTGCCTCCCAAGTGCTGGGATTAAAAGGGTGCGCCACCACCGCCCGTCTCTCTCAGCATTCCTATCGCTACTCTCCATTTTGGCCACTTTACCTCTAATATGGCCTCAGTCAATTACTGTATTCAGATTATTTCAAAATCCTTACCTCCAAATCAAATTTCTCTCTTTACAAATGTGTGTGTGTGTGTGTGTGTGTGTAATGCATGTGTGGGCATGTGAGTATTTGGGTGTGCTCACCTGTGTGTGAATGTGCACACAGAGGCCCGAGGTTGATATTGATATCAGGTGTCTTTCTCTCTAGTTTATTATTTTGTTTTTCTTTATTATGATTCTGTATGGTGTGTGTGTGTGTGTGTGTGTGTGTGTGTGTGTGTGTGTGTGTGTGTGTGCAGGTGCATGTGTGTCATGGTACACCTGTGTCTGTTAGAATACAAACCCTCAAGAATCTGTTCTCTCCTCCACAGTGGGTTCCAGGATCAAATTCAGGTCCTCAGCTTGTGCGGCAAGTGTTTTAACCCACGGAGCCATCCCATCAGCCCTTCCACTTTATTTTTGGGGATGAAGTCTCTTACTGAACCTGAACCCCATTGCTTTGGCTAGACTGACCAGCCAGCAGGCCTCAGGGATTCCCTTGTCTTCAGTTCCCCAGCACTGAGTTCACAGATGCACACCACTGTGCCTGGCTTTTAAAAGGCTGCTGGGGATCTGAACTGGGAGCTTCATGCTTCTTCAGCAAGCACCTTACCTAGTAAATCATCTCGCCAGCCACCAACTCTCCTTTCTGACTTTTAGACTCACATAGTCTGAAGTTCACTTAAACATCCCATGATGCCCTCCTCACTCAGCAGGCTGATATTTATAACTCACTATATCCCTCCAAAATCCATTTTCTTCCTGCTCCTCCCTGACTGAATCCACCACCAGCCAGAAATATTCCTGCTGACTCTTCCTTCACCCATCAATTTGGGCTAATTGATCCCAGACCCAGGCACTTTCCTAGCATCATCTCACATCTGGACACTGCTGCCCTAACCAGTCTCTCTGTCCAGGCTGTAACCCAGCATTTAAGAGTCAGCAGAGGAAGAGAATTTTCAGTGTGTCTGTTGGAGGCAACAGAAAAGGTGAATTTCAAGTCAAGGGAATATAACACACACACACACACACACACACACACACACACACACACACACACACACACACGAGAAACTTCCCTCTTACCCATTTCCCACACAGTCACTAGAGTGAACTACACAGAAAAAAAAAAAATTGAGTTGCTCCCTCCTTGCCTAATGCCATTGGATGACACCAATATACGTATGAAGATGTCACAATGGAGTCCTTTATTTTGTATGCTAACAAAAAAAAATAAACAAATAAAATCATTTGTTGAGTCCCATATGGAGTAGCATTGCACAAAAGAACTTTCATGCTTACTGGAGTCTCATCTTTAACTGCTCCAAATTCCATGAATTAAAAACTCAAAATTTACTGATTAGCTTCAGTTTGGGGGTACCTTTCCCAGCATCCTGATGCTCTCTCATGGCTGCCTCCAGCTGGGGAGTCCATTCCTGCTCCTGCCTTGGACTGGACGACACTTTGCCTCCACAGGAAACAACCCCCCACCAATAAATTATCCTACTTATTAATGTACTGTTAACAAATTTGCAAAGTCTTTACAGTCGAGAATATACTTTTTAATGGTATTTGTTGAGGCAGGATACAAAGACAGGGACAATTATGGAGATACGAGAAGAGAGATAGGAACCCTCAATCTAGAGTTTGATTGAAACCTCTTGCTGGCTGTATGTCATGAATTCCAGCACTGTTGTTATTTATTTCTGCTCTTTGGAGGGAGCTGCCATCCAGCTCCCAAATAAATCACACACAGAGGCTTATTCTTCCTTATAAATGCCCGGCCTTAGCTTGGCTTGTTTCTTGACAGCTTTCCTTCACTTTATTTATTTTTTTTTTCAAGACAGCGTTTCTCTGTGTAGTTTTGCGCCTTTCCTGGAACTTGCTTTGTAGACCAGGCTGGCCTCGAACTCACAGAGATCCACCTGCCTCTGCCTCCCAAGTGCTGGGATTAAAGGCATGCACCACCACCGCCCGGCGCTTTCCTTAACTTTAAATTAGCCCCATCTACCTTTTGCCTCTGGGCTTTTCCCTTTCTTTACTTCTGTAAATCTTACTCTTACTCTATGGCTTGCTGTGTAGCTGGGTGGCTGGCCCTGGAGTCCTCCTCCTTCTCTGTCTACTTCTTTTTCTCCTTCCAGTTTTCTCCTTCTATTTATTCTCTCTGCCTGCCAGCCCCGCCTATCCTTTCTCCTGCCTTGTTATTGGCCATTCAGTTCTTTATTAGACCATCCTGTGTTTTACACAGGCACAGTCACACAGCTTCACAGAGTTAAACAAATGCAACATAAACAAAAGTAATGCACCTTAAAATAATACTCTACAACACAGCACAATTAAGATTTGCTCGTGGTCTTTTTCCTTGTCCTGAAATTCTCTAGAAACATCACTAGAAAGACCCCCACCATGTTGAAAACCTTAGTGGCCCCTGCCTGGTTTCAGCTCATCAAATTATAATACTATTCAATACTATACCTATAAATCCACTTTATAATCTCAATTATCATAAGAGGAAATGGAGATAGCGCTTTTAAAATCCAATACAGATGGGCAGTGGTGGCACACGCCTTTAATCCCAGCACTCAGAAGGCAGAGGCAGGTGGATTTCTGAGTCTGAGGCCAGCCTGGTCTACAGAGTGAGTTCCAGGACAGCCAGAGTTACACACTACTCAAAGAGAAACCCTGTCTGAAACCCACATGCGCGCACGCGCGTGCGCATACTCACATCTTTCAATAAACTCCAACACTGCCTCATGCTGGCTCAACCTGAATCTTTTTTCTGTGGCGAGGACAAGGACCTGGTTTCACCTGAGAGGCAAACCCTAAAATACAGGAACTAACTGTGCTGGTGTGCCACCGCTGTACCGCCTCTGACAGCTGTGATGCCCTTGGCCGTGTCCTTCTTGACATCGCCACCCACTCCTTCTCTTAGCCCCAAGCACAGGACTCCTACCATGAGTCCTCCTCTCTTTCGTGCTCATCGATCATCTGCTCTCAACTTTTACTCCAAACCCCAGGTGCCAGCAGCCCTAAGACCCCGTCCCTCCAGCTCCTCACGGGCCTACTGCTCACTTCCCTGTGGGCAGCCAGCCCCAGGTAGTTGCCATAGCCCTCCCCCTCCCCTCACTTCCTCTCCAGGCCAACTCCTCCCATTTTGGTCAGTTCAGCTATAATCCTGCTGGTCAATAGAGCTCAAAATCAATCGTGCTTGCCTTTCCACACACACACACCCCCGCCCCTCCCCCTCCTCCATTCCTCTTCATGCCCAGCTGGTCACCAAACCCTCCCTGAGCTCTCCTTCCTGGGTCCCACAGCCCTCCTCACTCCTGCCGTCACCGCCACACTTTAAGGCTTTGGAGGTTCTTATCTGGATCCCTGCCACTCCGGTCCTCCCCCCGCACCTCTGCATCACTATGGAGCATTCCAGAAATCCACCCAGACTTAACCCGGGATGAACCAGATCCCTGTGTTTGACATGCGCTGGACTAGTGCACACCAGAAGTTTCCTACTGGAACTCCTGACTCCAGCCCCTGCTTCCTTCTAAATTTTTTTCTACACAATATATTTTGAGCATATTAAACTTCCCCTCCTTCAACTCCACCCCACAGTTAGACGCTTGCGGCCAAGCCTGGAGACCTGAGTTCGAGTCCCATGACCCATATGGTGGAAGGAGAGAACTGACTCCCAGAAGCTGTCCTCTGACCTCCACACCTGTGCCAATGGCATGTGTGTATTCTCACAACCACACACAAAAATTAATAAACAGGCCGGGCGGTGGTGGCGCACGCCTTTAATCCCAGCACTCGGGAGGCAGAGGCCGGCGGATCTCTGTGAGTTCGAGGCCAGCCTGGGCTACCAAGTGAGTTCCAGGAAAGGCGCAAAGCTACACAGAGAAACCCTGTCTCGAAAAACCAAAAAAAAAAAAAAAATTAATAAACAAAATGTAATAAAAATAATTACACTCACTTCTTTGCATAGCTACAGGACCAGGTCTTACTTTTTACTAGAAATTTTAAATTTTTAAATTTTTATTTTATGTGTATGAATGTTTTGCCTTCACGTTTGTCTGTGTACCACTTGCATGCAGTACCCACAGAGACCAGAGAGGGCGGTAGACCCTGTAAAACTGGAGTTAACAGATGGTTATGAGCTGCCATGTGGGTGCTGGGAACCAAACCCAGGTCCTCTGCAAGAGCAGTAAGTGATCTTACCACCGAGTCATGTCTCCAGCCCCTTACTGAGTGTTTTTGTTTTTGTTTAAACAACGTAATAGAGTCCAAGGGCAGGAATAGTGTCTTCCATGTCTTTATCCTTCCCAGCATTTCGGTGTCTGGTATGTGTGTTCCTTGAGCCTCAAAGTCTGTTTCCCTCCAGGCGGTCTATTTAATCAGCCTCTCTGTGTCCCCTTAGCATCCTGCTGACCGCCACACCATGACCCGAGGCTAGACCAGTCTAGAAGCCAATGTCGTCTCTTTAACTTCTCCTGTCAGTTTCCTCCACGCCCTAGTCCACTGTCTGTTCTTCCGACATGTCTGGTAGAGCTCCACATCTGAATCACTCGGAATGTCCACCTTTCCCACTCTTTCCTGCAACTGTTAAGAACCACCATTTTTAGGAAGGAAAGGTGGTGTTGCCCAGAGGTGGCTCAGTGCGCAAGAGCACGGGCTGCTCTTGCAGAGGACAGGGTTTGGGCACCCAGTTACTGAACAACAGCTCACAACATCTGTAATTCCAAGACCAGGGGATCCGATTCCCCTTTTTGGCTTCTGTAGGCGATGGTACTCATGTATGCGCATGATACAATTGAAAAAATAGTAAATATTTTAGAACAACAATAATAAACACCCCACAAAATACAGTCATGCAATTTAATATGGTTTGTCCTCATGAGGGTCCTTGACAGTACTATACATTCCATGTTTTTTTTTCCTTGTTTCCCTGACCTCCCCAACCCTCAATTTATTTATTTATTTATTTATTTATTTATTTATTTATTTTTGTGGTGGTGTGGAGACTAGGTCTCTGGGTCTCACTCTATAGCCCAGGTTGGTCTCGAACTCAAGCTGCTCCAGCTTCCACTTGACGAATGCTGGGCTACAGGCATACACTGGCGCACAGCTTCTCTCTGTCTAGTTCTCCAGCCTGTCCCCACACCACTATTTAATTTTTATTACTCCTCAGCACTCCTTGTCCTCAAACCTTCTTCTTAAATGTTTGCTTCTACCGTCAGGCTCTCTCTACTTACTAAGGATCCCCCAGAATTCCTTGTTCACATAGCCAGGCACTGAACACCATGCTTCTAACTTCCAGTAAAGTCCATACTGCACTTTAAAATCTTTCAAAATAAGAAACACAAACTCCTAGTTACAGACTCACTAGAACTCAGTGCAGCACTAAGTACTCAATATATATTTCTTTAATAAATGAACACACAAATAAATATTAGTTATAATGAATAGCCACATCAAATGCAACTCTCACAGAGTTATTTTTAAGAGTGGATCATTTCCTTGATGCCAATAAAACCCTGGGGAATGAGAAGTTTGAAATACAAATGGTTTCTAAAATACATCGTGTATAGAGCTGCAGCTAGGTAAGGGTTTGTGATTTCTACTCGGACGCACAAGAAAACGGCAGTTAGTCTTGTGTGTTCTGTAGGATCTGCTAGGACGGGCATTGCACACTTCATCACAGGCTGCTGCAGCCTGCCATGAAAAAGGTCTATTTTATGATGACCTCACTTCACTTCTCTCTTTTCAATATACTTATATTTAATTGATCAATTACATGGAAAGACATGCTGTTGGGTTAGGCTGTCCAGCTCCACATCTTTATATCTTGAGGAAAACTATTTTTCCTAGAATACTCATGATATCTATCTTCTTTTGGTTTGCTTAGCCGTTGTGAGACAGGGTCTCATACTGTAGACTAGGCAACCTAGAACTCACTAGGTAGACCATGCTGGCCTTGAACTCACCGTAATCCTTTTGCCTCAGTCTCCAGAGCATTAGGACTAAAGGCATAAACCACCATATCCCGTCTTTTATTGTATCATGGACTTCACTCTGTGGTGGTTGTCTGTTTCCAGATGCTTCTGCTCTGGCCAGAGGAGAGCCTGACTCTTACAGTACTCACCCTGACGTTGTGTGGATGAAGCCCTCCGGGATGCCGAGACATGTACTGCGCCAGGTCTGTGTGCTAAACAAAACAGCAGAGAAAGAGAGGGCAGAGGAGGTCAGTGGTCAATATCTTAAATCACACCATGGACCTGAGGAGGTACAACAAAAATACGGATGCTTTAGACCGACGTGTAAAAGGAGTTTAGTCAGATTTTTCTGAGACCCCATTCTTAAGGGCAGACATCGTGTGTCTTTCTAGCTGGCTGCTGGTACAAGGGAGCCTGTTTCTTGGCCCAGAGACAATCATGAATGTGACTGGTTCTGAATACAGCAAAGGAAACTTTCACTTTCTAAGTGTCCTTGAAGGCAGGTCAAGCACACTTACCTCAGGATTTCTTTCTGTTCATTTGAATATTTTTTTTCCCTTTCAAAAGTACAAACTGAGTTATTCTTTAGTACGCTTATATACGGCCTTTAAATATCTTGTGTTTTATCTCTATCCATTTAGTCAAAGAAACAAAATCAGGTCCTATTAGTAATTAAAATAGCCTTTAGAGAGTGCAAAGCTTTGTGAGAAGGCAATTGTAAACCCTGGTGTGTTACTGGTGGCTAGGGGGACGGGACAGACTGCATCCAGGTAGAGAAGTAGGAATAACTGTCAGCGAGAGCAGCACGGCCCTGCTCAGCACAAGGATCCATCATACCTTCCACACCATAATGAAAGTTTTATTGTGCCATAAAATATTAACAGAATCATTATACAAGCACCAGGCTTTTTCCTCCTGTGCTGTAAAAGTCTGGAGCACTCACCATGTATTCAAACACGAACGTCAGAGTCTCTTTGGTGTGAACAATGTCGTGCAGAAGGACAATATTGGCGTGCTTCAGACCCTTCAGTAGAGAGGCTAGAAAGAGTTAAACAAGATATTACATCAATCACTGATAAGAAAGTGCCCCCTTTCAACCTATTAAGCACACTTTTTTTTTTTTTAAACACTTCAAATCAAGCAATCTTGGGTTTTTACTGCTGGGAATGAGTCTCTTATGGAAGAATATTTGAAATGGCAAAGGACCTTTATTGTTTTAAAAATGGTGAACCGTGACATTTCCACAACCGCCCCCTCTGGCAGGCTCGGTGGTTGCACACGGTGCTTCCATCCATCTCATCAATCTCCTCTGAGCACTTTGTGAGGCTCTCCTCTGGGATTCTCATCATCCCAGATGCAGAGCTAGAGGAACCTGGGCTCAGGGACACACAGGCCATCGGAGAAGCAGGGAACTGACTGCCCACCTCTTAGAGCAGGAGTTTGCAACCAGTGGCCAGGCGCTGAAAGGCAAAGCCCAGCCAGGGACCAACGAGGCTGATAGATGTAGTGGGAGGAAGGGACAGTCGTGTGGGGTAAAGAATAGTGGTAACCTGTACAGCACAGAAGGGCTGTTTCCTTTTTCTTTCTTTTTATTTATTCTTTGTGTCTTTCACATCATGCATCTTGATCCCATTCATTTCTGTCCCTTCTTAGCCATCCTCTGCCTTCGTAACCTTTCCCCACAACCAAATAAAATAAAATCTAAGAGAAAAAAAGGAAAAGTGAATCTCATCATGGAAGCTGTGGTTGACACAGTGAGTCACACAGTAAACCCTTTTATCCATAGGTCGTTACTTGCAAGTGTTCATTGCAAAGAGTCCTTGGTCTGGTTCTTGGGGAGTATTGTAAACCCCCTCTGTGAAAACGCAAACTCGAAAGAGAGCTCTGAGCTTGAGAAGCCTGGGGAACAGGAGTGCTCACAGCTGTCTCCTGCCTGTTCAGTGACAGATCATTGTTAGATTTCTAAAAGCAGCTTTTTTTGTTTATTTTTACTTATTATTTATTTTAATTAATGAATTAATTAACTGGTACTGGGGATCAAGCCCAGGGTCGTGCCTCAGGCATTTTACCAGTGACCTGCTCTCATTGTTAACCCCAAAAAGGCACCCAATTAAAAGAGAGAGATTGCCATGAAAGGCCAGGAGAGGCTGTCTTTGGGAGTTTCAGAGAGATGGAAGCCCCACGACTTCAGAAGGACGAGAACAAAACAGGTATAAAGAGATGATGAGTCCAAGTCCAAAGAGACAGTGTCCTTAAGACTACAGATGGTGCCTGGCATGACGGATCATGACTGCAATGCCAGCATTCAGTCGACTGAGGCTGGAGGATTACTTCAAATTCAAGGGCAGCCTGGGCTACAGAGGGAGACCCAGCCTCAACAACAAACCAACCAACCAGGAAACAGCAAACAAATAAACAAAAGACTTAAAAGAATGGAACAATATAAAACTCAAATCACAAATATCAATGTATGTGTTTATAGGACATAAAAGTAGAGGCAGGAGTATAAGGAGGGAAGAAACGCTCTAGAGAGAGAGAAAAGGAGATGGCAAAAGGGTGTGGGAGCAGAAAGACAAAATAGCACGTATTTTCTCTCACACGCAGCGTCAAGATTTAAAAACATAGAGGACTTGGCAGATGGCTCAGTGGGTAAAGTTCCTGCCACGCAAGTATGAGGACTGAAACTCAGATGCCCAGCACTCACAGAAAAGCCAGGAGGTGGGCAAAGGGGATCTCTGGGGCAAAGTGCCTCTACAGACCAGCTGAATCAGTAAGAACAGGGTCAGTGAGAGACCCTGCCTCCCTAAGTACTGTGGAGAGAAACTGAGGAGGATAGCTCATGCCAGCTCCTGGTCATGTGTGGAACCAATACATACGTATGCATGTGCCTGCAAATATACATACATACAGATGTATGTATATTCAGACCAGGGACTGTTTGGTGGGAAGAAAGGGATAGGTGATGGCTCAGAGGTTAAGAGCACTGGCTGCTCTCCTCTTCCAGAGGTCCTGAGTTCAATTCTCAGCAACCACAAGGTGACTCACAACACCTGCACAACAGAAGAGGATCCAACGCCCTCTTCTGGTGTGCAGGTGTATGTGCAGTCAAAGCACTCATACATAAAACACGTAAGCAAATAAACCTTTAAAAAAAAAAAAAGGAAAATAGTATATTTGGGGGGAAAAACCCCTCAAAATCAGTGTTCCATTTTGTGCCTATACTTCTACCTGATGAGTCTCCTGCACCATCTCTTTCCTACTGAAGGGTTCTGAAGACTGAGAACAAACTCAGAGCTGTGGAGATGGCTTAGTGGGTGAGAGCTTGTTGCACAGACGTGAGCACCTGGGTTTGCATCCCCAGAACCCAGGGAAAAGCTGGGTGCAGCTCTGCAGGCCTGTAATCCCAGCACTGGGGGGAGGGCTGAGGCAAAGGATCCCAGGGACTCATGGGCCGGCCTAGCAATCAGTGTGCTCCAGGTTCAGTGGAAGACCCTGTGGCAACAAGTAAGGTGAAGAAGCCATTGAGGAAGACACCCAACATCAGTCTCTGGCCTCCACACACCCAACTGCACACGTACAAGCATGTGTGTATGCACATACGTCCACCTCTCCCTTCCCCAAATAAACTCAAGTGTTCTCTGCGATCGGGAACACACCTCTTCCCTCAGGAAGCTGTCCTGTTGTGCTTGTTACTGTGTTTGCCTCCTCATGGTCAGTTTTCCCTCTAGTCACCATCTAATCACCATCTTTCCTGATTTTTCTTCAGAAAGCCAACATTTCTCTTAGTCCATTCCCTTCTAATTGAGCTACCCTGCCTTTCCCCAAGAGTGGCCGTGGGACCTGCCTAGTTTCTGTGATGACTGGTTCAGAGACAGGCAAAGCAGGCTCGTGAAGCCCTCCTTCGCTGTGCCCACAGGGTCCTTATGGACTAAATCTATTATTTCACTTTTAACAGTGAATTCATTTTGTCAATATGAGGATCAGTTTCACAGCCTCTGTTTAATCTCTCTAGGCCCAGACCGATGTCTGCACAGGAACAGAGTGACTTTCTCTGTCTTTTGGATGCCACCACACCACCTTGGGGTACAATCAGTCTGCCACTTAGCCTAGAGTAAGCAGTTAATTTATCAAGGATCTATACTGAGTACAGATCTTATATAGTATCTTAAGGGAGAGCTGTTGGGGAGCCAGGAGCAGCCCTCATGAATCCTGACTCTGTCACTTTAATCGTTCAGTGAGCTGTGGAGAATTTCCCACCTTATGGAGAGAGACACCATCTTTCCTGACTTCATTTCACAAGACATTGTGAATGGACTCAGACCCTGTTCCTAAAACCCTTGCTAAATTAAATGGCAAGTGTTACAGAGATGCAAATTACATTTCATATCTTCACACCAGCTTCCCACTCTTCCTTTCACGGTGAGCCCATTAAAACCCCACTCCTGGTCATAAAGTCTAATTTTTGGTATGTTTCTGCTAGAGTTTCCAGTACCTCCCATGTTTATCGCAATGATTTCTGGCCACCTGCTGAGGACACTCGCATTTTTATTTATAAATAATTTCATAATATTCTGTTTCTCTACACATACACATGTACAGGATGACCTGTCTACATCAAAATTAGGTTTGTGGGGATGGAAGTGTAGCTGAGTGCCAGCCAGCCTAGTATGTGCAAGGCCTTGGATTCCATCCGTAACACTACACACAAAACTAAATTTCCCCCCCAAAGGATATGGAAAAACATTACTAAGAAAATTAAAATATTTTAATTAATTAAGTTACTATTTATGTATTTATTTTGAGACCAGGTCTCATAATCCTGCCTGTCATGGAACTCAATGTGTAGGCCAGGCTGGCCTCAGACTTGTAGTGATTCTCCTGCCTCAGTCTCTCAAGTTTTTAGACTGCAGATACCTGCTAACACACACATTTTTAATTTCATTTTTTGATGTAATTTTGTCCTTACATAATTATATTTCTAAAATTCCTCAGGCTGACTTTAAAAATCATGGTGGCATGTTTTATTAATCACAACGGCTTCAAAACAATCATTTGCTAAGACTAAGACTCTCAAAAATACGTCCTTGGATGAGGCTTTCTGCTTTACTTCTGTCATTTCCTCAATAATCTCGGTTTTTCAGGAATGGGGAAAAGTGTCCCTCTGTCATTTCTCTGCTGTGGATTCATTTGTTCTATCCATCTTATCTCCAGTTCACAATACCTTTGCAGAAGGTAAAGTCATTCGTCCGTCCTCTTATGTAATGTTAACACTCTTGCAAACAGCAGTTCCTCTCAACTTGTTTTTTCATGCCCTGCACCAGTCTGAAATCTGCCGTCAATTCTGTAAACCATGTCAGGTCCCTCACTTCCTTCCATATTGTTGACTGCCCTCCTGGGCCGGGCCATGCTGATACCTTGGCTGAACTGCTGCAAAGGCCCCCGAGTCAACTCCCCATTCATCTGTCCTGCGGACTCTTCCTTCTGGAACAGTCTGAAACTGTGATTCTCTCCAGGAAAAATCTAAACAAATCCTTTCTGATCCCCAACCCCTATAGTGACCTCCCAGCTCACTCAACAAAAGCCAAAGGACTTGCAATGGCCTGCCCAGTCTCCCTTCTCCCCCAACCCCACTCCATCCCTTCATTAGCTCCTGTCTCCTACAACTCTCACTCCCTGGCTCTGGTCACAATGGTCTCTTAAAGGACACTTGCATTTTCCAACACTGCCCACCCCACCCCTACTCTTATGATGATCCTTGTCTCCACCCACAATTCTCTTTTCTCCCCTCTTTGAATGCTTCCTCCCTCCCTCTCTTTAGGACTCTGATCAACAGTATATATAAAGTATGGGCTTCCCTGTTCATTGCAGATGAGATCACAGCCTTCCACCTCATCTCATCCCAGTGAGCCTCTGTTCCTCATCCCTGTTATCTTCTCCTCCATAGCGCTCACCACTGCCTGTCATTAGATATACATATATCTGATACATATATGTGTGTGTGTGTATGTATATATATACACATACACACACACTTATACACACACACACACACAAACGTGCTTGTCAATCTCCCCTTATGAACATAAGCTTCATGAAGATCAGCCACTCTTGCCTTTTCTGCTTATTGAATCCTTGATGTTCATTAAAACAATGTCTAAAAGCTCCTTCCTGTTGAATTTGTGATCACGTCTTCCATAGTACCATTCATATGTGTAGAGTTGAATAGCAGTGTTTCTGTTGAAGATGCTTTGGTGTCTTGCTCCTTTTAGGCACCTTCCTCACCTAGATAAAAAACGTTCCATCTCCTGGTCCCTTTTACTCCTGTTTTTCCAGTGCCCCAGGATACTGAGAAAGCCATACGGGAATGGAATTTTACTAGTAACTAACAGGGGATTTACATGAAAGCAGGAGATGGTTTAAGTCTTTAGCTCACGGAATTGCTGGCATGTGATTGGGTCCCTACACCAGAGGGTCAAACATGCCTGGCCTCCAGGGAAGTATGGGAAGGAAACTCAGAGAGGAAAGCCTTTCTTTCTTCTCTTTTGAGGACTCTGTAGTTCTTACAGTAGGATGTGGGGTCTGGTCTGAAGACTCAAGGGTACAAAAGTCAACCGAGAAAGAGGGAAAGATACTGAAATCCAGATGCTGATTCTGGGAATTTCACAGCTTTCAAGTTAAGAGGGATGTGGTGACTCTTGCTTGTAATCCCAGCACTTAGAAGATGGTTCCAGGTAGGAAGATCAGGAGTTCAAAGTCATCCTCAGCTACATAGTAAGGTCAAGGCCAGTCTTGGCTACATGAGACCCTGTCTCAAAACAAAACAGTCTCATGTAATCAAATACTTCTGTTTTTCTTCAAGGAAAAGACACAGAGATAAACGGAACTCTAGTAACGGTGATGATGACAGCTAACACTCCTAGATTATTTAAGATATACCAGGCATTGGTGTAAGAATTTCATAGACCGTAACTTGATTTGATTATAAAAACACCAGGAAATCAAATAAGAAACATGAATAAGACAACTAATGCAAAGAAAAAACGGTCAACGCTGATCTTTATTCAGCATAAAAGATAGCTAATCATTTAGATACACTATAATGTGAGATATTTACTAATTCAGGGAAAATATATCCATCTCACAATGGCATCCAGATACTTTATTGGTTTTCTTTATTTTATTGTGATCTGCAGTTGAGTGATTTTTTTCAGGAAAATTGATGTTTTGCCAGCACAGTGGTTCATGATATTTCAATATTACTCTGCATTATTCTATTTAGTTTAGGAAAAGATGTAAAAGATAATAGTCACAGGTAGGAGAAGCCTGTCTCCCAAGGTCCTAGAGTATGTCTGTAGCAGAATATGTTAAGGTGTGTTACCTTGGTTCATGTTGCATTTGTTTAACGCTGTAAAGCTGTGTTACTGTGCCTGTGTGAAACACCTGATGGTCTAATGAAGAACTGGCCAATAGCGAGGCAGGAGAGAGGGTAGGCGGGGCTGGCAGGCAGAGAGGATAAATAGAGGGAGAAATCTGGGAGGAAGGAGTTAGGTTCTAGGAGCCGGAGAAGGAGGAGGACTCCAGAGGCCAGCCACCCAGCCATCCAGCCACCCAGCCACCCAGCCACCCAGCCACCCAGCCACCCAGCAAGCCCCGGAGTAAGAAAAACAAAGAAAGGTATACAGGAACAGAGAAAGATAAAAGTCCAGAGGCAAAAGATAGACGGGTTAATTTAAGGAAATCTGGCTAAAAACTAAGCCAAGCTAAGACCGGGCATTCATAATTAGGAATAAGCCTCCGCGTGTGATTTATTTGGGAGCTGGGTGGTGGGCCCCCAAAAGACCAAAGACAAACCAACAGCATATATCTGCATATCCTGGTAACCAAGGCTCTCTCAACCCTATAGGCTATTTGAGGACATAGACTGACCCCAACCATGACTTTTGCATTTCCAGCACTAACACAGGCCTGGCACGTGGTGCTCAATAAATGTTTGAGAATCAATAAAGACTCAGCCACTTCTAGTGAGTCTATGTAGGAGTCAATAATAGAGCCCACCCCAACTCTAATAGACACTGAACAATAAAGGATTTGCAATCCCTGATGGTACATTTTCTTTGGCCTAAGAACCACAAACCAGGCCGGGCGGTGGTGGCGCACGCCTTTAATCCCAGCACTCGGGAGGCAGAGCCAGGCGGATCTCTGTGAGTTTGAGGTCAGCCTGGGCTACCGAGTGAGTTCCAGGACACTTAGAAGTTAAAACCCCATCACATTGTACCCTCCGGTGCAGTAGTGCCATACCTTTCTGAGGGGTAACCAGTCACTTCAGGCTTGGCTTTGAGGCCTGCTCCACAGAAAGGAATTCATATCTGGTGCTATAAACCCCATCAGAAGTCTGGGACTCAGGTCTTAGGCCCAACTGGGAAAGCTTTTTTTGCTAAGTGACCATGATATGCCTATTATAGTGCCTTTGAATGTTTCTGTTTATATCCATAGACTAATGATGCTGTCAGCTTTGAGCAGAGAGGCTGTGTGTGTGTGTGTGTGTGTGTGTGTGTGTGTGTGTGTGTGTGTGTGTGTGTATTGGGCAAGAGTTACTGAAGAGACTCATAACTGGTCAAAGTACTAAGAATAAATGCCTATTGAATGCTCATCCCTAAATAAGACATCTATATCACCCCCTCCAAGGCTCAAAGAACTGAAAGAAAAAGAGAAGGGAAATATTGTAAAAGCTGGAAGAAGAGGTAGAGTGTTGTGGAATACTGTCTTCAGGGCATGACATGGCCATTGCCCCTGAACTCTCAGTCTGTGCAACAGCCTGAAAAAGATTGGATCTATCAACATTCCATTATGGGGGAGAGAAGCTTACAAGTCCCCCAACCTACCTCCCTGAGGATCTATAGGTAATTAATAGTTGCTAAGGGACAAAGGTATCTCTTTTCTGGTATGACCACTAGTAATTTGCTCATATTCCTGTAAGTAACCCTAATTAAACCCATTAGTTTACACCACACAAAATAAAATGAAAGTAGAGAGCATGGTGGGGGGGTGGAGGATGGGGGGTCTGGGGGTATGTGGGAGGGTGCAAGAAATACTCATGGGATGAATACGATTGAAATATATCATGTATGAAAAGTCATAATGCAACCCATTCTTGTGTATAGTTAATACATGCTAATTACAGCTCTTTTAAGACCAGTGAGATGCCTCAGTGGATAAGGGTGCTTTGCCACACAAGCCTGGCTATCCGAGTTTAATCCCTGGAACCCGTGTGAAGAAAAATGATGGTACAAAGTTGTCTTCTGACCTCCTTATAGGCATCGTGGTACAGCTTTGAGTGTGCATGCCTGAACACACACACACACACACACACACACACACACACACACACACACACACTAATAATAATAATAATCATACATTTTTAGAAATATCCCTCTCTTATATTTTTGGTTGTGAGCCTAGTCTTTAACGGCTGAGCCATCTCTCCAGCCCAAAATATCCCTCTCATATGCCATTACCCTGGGGTTATTTCTCATAAGGCTGTACCTATGCAACGAATATGTTTTGTCCTTGATGTGATCAGGTTGTACTCAGACAGAATTCCTGTCAGCCAGGCAGGCGTGCCCTCATCCATCTGTGGCAATAGCTGACTCAAGATTCTAGCCAGACTCTGCTGATCTTATCGGATGACCCCTAGCATGGCTCCTGAACCTCTTTTCGGCGAACTTTCTCACAAATAGATTAGAAGTAATTACTCTACAATGATCGCGAAGGGTTTTCAGCTGCAACTGTTTCTAATTTAAACACTGCCGTTGCGGGTTCTGTAGGATGAACGGGAGAACTGCTGACCTCACACTATCGGATTATTTCCCGGAGTCTTACTTCTGAGTTTGCTTGATTTTTACACAGAAAGCACCACAGAGCAGAGTTCTGTTGTCCACTTTCACTCTTGCTGAGGGAGATGCTTCAATCAAGCAAGCATTTGCGGTTTTATGTAGTAGAGAGAATTTAAATGTAACAGACATTAGTTCTAATACTGAAGACCCTGGTGACCCCAGACAAATTATCCGGTCTCTCTGAGGCTCAGACTCCTTCATTTCTACAACAACCAACAACAATACCATATTGTGCTTCCGGGTGTTAGTATAAGGGGCTGACAGAGACCATGGGAGAGGGAGGCATGTCACCTTCCTGCTTCTCAGAAAAGAGTGTACATATGACTTCTTCCTTAAGAAAACCCTCTAGTGCTCGCTTGGGCAGCACATACACTAAAATTGGAATAATACAGAGAAGATTAGCACGGCCCCTGAGCAAGGAGGACAAGCAAATTTGTGAAGCATCCCATATTTTTATGAGGGGGGCATTTCGGGGTCAAGGAGACACCTAGTGCCAGGGAAACTCCAGAAAGCTGACCCCAGCTAAGACCCCTAGCAATAGTGGAGAGGGTGTCTGAACTGGCCGTCTACTGTAATCAGGTTGGTGACTATCCTAATTGTCATCAGAGAGCCTTCATCCAGGAACTGATGGAGGCAGATGCAGAGATCCACAGCCAAGCACTGGGCTGAGCTCCGGAGGAGAGGGAGGAAGGATTGTACGAGCCAGGGTGTGTGTGTGTGTGTGTGTGTGTGTGTGTGTGTGTGAAGGTCATCATAAGGGAACCCACAGAAACAACTAACCTGGGCTCATAGGAGCTCACAGACTGGACCGACAGCTAGGGAGCCTGCATGAGACTGATCTAGGCCCTCTGCATGTGGGATACAGTTGTGTAGCTTGGTCTATTTGTGGAGCCCCTAGCAGTGGGATCAGAGTCTGTTTCTAACACTTGAGCTGGCTTTTGGGACCCTATTCCTCACACTGGTTCACCTCGCCCAGCCTTAATACAAAGGGAGGAGCTTAGTCCCACCTCAACTTGATATATCATGCTTTGTTGACACCCAAGGGAGGCCTGCCCCTTTCTGAACAGAAACAGAGGAGGAGTGGATGAGAGTGGGGGCAGAGGGGAGGCAGGAGAGGGAACAGGAGAAGAGGAGAGAGCAGAAATTTCTGTCAGGATATAAAATAAATTTTAAAAAATTAATTAATAAGAAATTAAAAAAAAACCCACTGTAGACAGGCAGAAGGTTCAAACCATAGCTGGCTATTTTAAGAAAGGTGTTTAAAATAAGATCCATTCTTAGGGTGCCAATATAGATTTCAATAAAACTAAGTTACATTCATATAAAATCCATAAAAGCCAACCCACTCCAAGTATTTTCTCCCAGTTATAAAAGTGAACATTTGAAATGTGATTCTGGGCCAATAATAAAAAACTCTAATTTGCTACAAAAGCCTCCAATCTTTTACCTTTTATCTTTTTTTCTTCCACTTTGTTTTGTTTGAGACAGGGATTCACAATGTAGCCCTGGTTTGCCCAGAACTGGCTATGTAGACTATGCTGGCCTTGAACTTACCTTCCTGCCTCTGCCCCCTGAGTTTGGAGATATCCAGCTCTTCCATCTTTTAATTAGCAAAAGGATGAAGATAGTATGTCACAGGCCTGGATTCCCATCTACCTCAGGAGATCAAGGCTAGCCTGGGCTACAAGGTGAGTTCAAGGCCAGCCTGGGCTACAACTCAGTGAGACACTGTCTCAAAATGAAAAGGAGGGCTGGGCTAATAGCTTAGCCATGGAGCACTTGTCTAAGCATGGGTGAGGCCTTGGCTTTGATCCTCAATACCACAGGGAGAAAAAAATCAGGGTAGTAGGGACTTGTGTGTGTGCTGTTGTGTATCCAGGAGTCAGCAGAGTGCCTGGCCTTCTCAGGTACCCAGTACGTACTGTAGCATGAGTACCCATGAAGTTATGAGTGTTTGTCTGAACTGAATTTGATTGACTGTTGGCCATATGATACAATATCTCTAAAAGTGTTGTGAGGACTGAAGGAAGCATGAAAGCTTATTAAGATTTTCCCTTAGTATTGTTTCAGACTTTTGTTATTTTCATGATATTATATATGACGATCACATGAACAGAAACATGCATTCTACCTATTGAGAGACTACTGTCCATGTAGCAAAATTCTGCTCAATCATTCCAGGCTGCCAACACCTTCAGAGCAAGCAGACTGCTCAGGAAGAGAATTCTTGCTTCAAGCGTTCAGAAAGAAGGCTGCCTGACTGAGTTTTTCTGCACATGGCTTTTGGTTGCCTTTTTAGCTAATGACTCTGGACTTTAGCTAATGACCTCCAGCTGCTCTCAGCTTGCTTCCCAGCCCTCCCCATTTAACCTCCTCTCTCTGGTCTCACATCCATCGAGATCTTAACCACGGAGAAATGAGCCAGTGTCAAAGTTCTTAAGTGGGGCCCTGCTCTCAAGGCTGCAAGCTTTCACACCGGAGGAAAGAGAAGCAAGCCATTGTTGGAAACTGGAAGTCAAAACCACCTCCGATGTGTCAAAATCCTTTCGTGGTTTTTCATATCATACAAGCAAAGCTTTCAGTAAGGGGCAGCCCATAAAACAAACCAAGAAGTCCACAGTGGAACCCCAACTGTAATTGTGAACACCTGTGTGGGAGGCAGCAGGCGGTAACTGTGCAATGCAGGAATGGTTGTGCATACAGAACAATACACCGGGGGCAGCAGAGGGGGGTGTTGAGTCAGGCTGAGAACATCTGTTAGCAGAACCTGCTGCTGCTGCTGCTGCAAAAAAAGGTTTCACTGTGACTGCCAGATGTGGACTTGGAGAACTTAGCTATGGGGAAAATGGGAACAAAGCCTATTGCGAGCAATCCGTGAACTCAAGCTCACAAAAGGCAATGTCCAGAGAATGAGAGCCTTGATGAAGAAAGCCTCCTCCTGTCCAGTGACCTGGAGGTTTCCACTATGTCCAGAAATAGTCTTCCACCTATCCGCACAGCTGTCTCCAAATGTGATCGTGCTCTCCTTTGGGCTACTCGTAAGCACACCAGTAAGTGCAGCGTCCATTACGTTAAACACTTAAACCATGTGTTCCCCCAAATTGCACCTGATCCTATCAAGATGAGTACCCACTTAAACTGATAGCCTCTTGGCCTTTCTGCTTGAGTTTAAAATGTTTCCCCGGGGCAGCAGAGGCTTTTTAAAATGGCATCAAATTGAGTTATGCCCTCATCTTCTGAATCGCTTTTTTAATGCCTGTTTGCATAACCTATGCTTCTAAGTTCAGTTCAAAATCTGCCTCCATTAGCCACACTGAGACTGACTCATTCTTGTTGTAAGAGAGCTTACAACAGCCTCTGTACACTTAATACTTGAATTGTCTGCTCTGCTAAGACTGAAAACACAGAATGAAGAATGGGGCGTTCTCGGCTCGTTGCTCACTCGGCTCTATCCTTTGCATCCAGTGTACTCAGTAAAGAAGGGAAGAAGACACAAAGCTAAGAGAGAACGGAAGGCTGAGGAAGGGCCATTTCTCCAGATTTTTTTTTTCCGGAGAACAACGGTGATCCCATCATTCAAATGACCCACACACGTGCGGTGGGGATACAGCTCAGTTGATAAGAATGCTTGCCTAGTGTAGTGGTTTGAATGAGAGATGTACCCCATAGGCTTGAGTATTTGGTTCCTAGTTGGTGGTATCGTTTAGGGACAGTGCAGTTTAGGTGGAGGAAGCCCATCACTGAAGGCTTGGGGTTGAGAACTCACTCACAACATCGCCCACTTCCGGTTTGCTCTTTCTGGTGTGTGTGTGTGTGTGTGTGTGTAGCCTTCTCTTAGCTTCCCATTCCTGCTACCATGGAATACATAGCTGTTTGCTGCTCTGCCTTACCCAACATCCCCTCTCCCACCGATGGACTCTTATCTCTTTGGAACTGTACGCCAGATAAACTCTTCTTTAAGTTGCCTTTGGTCATGGTATTTACCACCACCACAGAAAAGTAACTAATATCCTCAAGCACACTTGAGGCCCAAGATTTGATTCCCAGCAGGAAGTATAAAACTGAATGTGGTGGTACAGCTGTAATCGTAGCCCTTGGGAGAGACAGGCAGGGGGTTCAAGAGTTCAAGGCCAGCCTTGGTTACGCAATGAGTTTGGGGCCAGTCTGAACTCTACGAGACACTGTCTCAAACAAAAAACAGAAACCTTACGTGAAATCTTGATAAATTGTATTCTTTTATTTCATTATGTTAGTTTTAAGTTTATAAATTATTAGTATTAAACAATGTGATATTAGTATTAAATCTCATTGATCAGTAAAAAAAAGTAATAAAAATAAAATAAAATTCAAGAATAAAATAATAGCAGTGAGTATTCATTGAACCTGAGAAGAGACTGTGATAAGCGTCATGTGTTCTCATTGGATCTTTGTAACAGCTCCATGAAACATGCCTGTTACCAGCCAGTTTAGCTGTAAACTCAGTCTAGGGGATCGGTAGACCTGGAATCGTGCCATTAGGACCTACAGCCAGATGACGCAAACTTGGACCTGTTCACCTCCTTCCTGTGCTGCTGAGGGAGCAGAAAAGACACAGGAAGCTAGGTTTGCCAAGGCATGCCTGTGATGCCAGCTCTTGGGAGGCTGAGGCAGGAGCATTGCGGGTTTGAGGCCAGAGTGGCTCCATAGTAAGTCTGAGGCTGGCTTAGGCAAATTAGTGAGACCTTGTCTCATTTAAAACAAACCAACAGAGATGGCTCCAGGGGGAGAGAGAGAGAGAGACTGCTGAAAGAACATGCCTTCAATTCTGGAGGCTGAAGCAGAAGGGTTCCAAGTTCAAGACCTGCCTGGGAAACTTAGTGAGACACTGTCTCCAAAAAAAAAAAAAAAAAAAGTGTGTGTGTGTGTGTGTGTGTGTGTGTGTGTGTGTGTGTGTGTTGGTTGGATCCTTGGTTCAACCCCTAAGTACTGCAGGAAAAACAAAAACAAAACAAGAAAACATGCTATGCTATGATCAGGCGAATCCCCCACCAAGAATTACTATGATGTTACACTTTCTCTTTCTTTTGAATGAATCTCTGTGGGCTGTATAGACATGGTTTTAGCTTGAATCCAAGCATACAGAAAACATTTAGTAAACGCTCATAGAGGTCATAATATGGACAGTAGTTTTGAACTTTGTCTTCAAGAACAAATGCTAAAATAATAGTGTAAATAATCTTGGTAAACTGGCAACAAAATCAAAATTTGAAATTATAATATCACTTCTAGAAATACCAGAGACCACACGGTGAGTGGGTAGACTGAATCCTTTGCAATGTTTTTACCAAGTCCAGTAATCAAAACAATCTCTGGGGTCTCTGTTCTTACCTTCCCGGATGGCTGTGAAAGGGACACCCTCCTCTGCGTTCATGCTGATGACCTTTAGGGCTACTAGTTGTCCATTTATCCTAGAAAGGGGCGGGGCAGACACACACACACACTCACTGAGATGGTTCCAGGCAACAGCTCCCACGAAGATGTGAGAACAAAAGCGTCCCTTCACAGCATGCCCTCGTACATAAACCTACCACTGTCTCAAGACACCAAGCCCATTACATAGCACACATGTGGCAGATCTATTTCCAAGCGGCCTTCTCTTTACTCATTGTATATTTTCTTTCTAGAGCATTCAGAGAAAGCAGAGAGGCACCCGGAGACCACCTCCCTCCTGACGTTTGCCGGTCCCTTTGGTGCTCTTAAGCCAGCCTCGTACGCCACCCAACTTTGGCTGTGGCTTCATAACAGTCTCCTTGCGTGAACATTTGTGCTCTGTTTTGTCCAATCTCCGTAGAGTACCTGGAGACATTTTCAAGTGAAAGTCAACATGTCACTTACTTTTTAAAACCTACTGTATCTCCGTGTTTCATTTCAGGTAACAGCCAAATTCTCTTTCTTTTTTCTTTTTGTTGTTTGTTTGTTGTTTGTTTGTTTTTATTTAGTGGAGGGTAGGGAGATGTGGGTCTTGAAATGTAGCTCAGGCTGGCCTCCAACTTTCAATTCTCCTGGATGAGGCTGTTAACAGCCAGTGTCTTGCAGTATTCTCCAAGATTTACCTAAGTCTCACTCACCATTCTCTCTCTCCTTCCCTCCTTCTACTCACCATTTATTGATAATTTTGTTGTGATATTAGGTAAGCGTAGAGATCCAAGAAGATCTTTTAAGATCATGCTGTTTCTAATACAGTGAGATCCACTGTCAATAATCTGTTCTCTCTCGGTTTCACATTTTCTCTTATTATTCATGATATTTTTAATAGACAAGTTGGCCTTGAACTCATCCCAATCCTCTTGCCTCAACTTTTCAAGCACTGGGATTACAGGCATAAGCCACCATGCCTGGTTTTACCATTCACTCTTACACAATATGATATTTAATAATGTTACACTATTTTATCATACAAACACACCACAATGTATTCTGCCAATTCCAAATTCTTATACATTGCAGTTTGGGGTTATTTTAAGAATTCTGTGATGGGCATGGTGGCTCCTGTTGTAACCCTAGCCCTTGAGAGGCTGAGGTAGGAGGAAGGTTGCCACAAGGTCAGACTGGGCTATGTGGTGAGTTCCAAAGACTAGCTTGGGTGAGTGTGAGACTGTTTCCCTGAAAGAAATAACGGGGCTACGGGAAAAGATTTAGCTACAGAAATGATCATCATAGGTTTCCTTTGATTTGGTTTTTTGCTTTGAACTTCATTTTAAAAGAACAATTTTAGAATTCTAGAAAAACCGAGAAGATAGTCTAGAAAGTTCCCATATCCTTACACTGGTTTCTTCTACTGTTGACTCTTACCTAGTACAACTAATGAACCAAACTGGACTCGGTGACCCCCACCTGTAATTCCATTGGGAGATGGGGGTAGGGGGATCAAGGAGTCAAGGTCATCCTCGGCTACATATGAAGTTCAGCCAGAACTGAAATATACAAATCTGTCTAAACAAAACACTAAATGCGTGTAAAATAGTGATAATAATTAATGAACCAATATTGATTCATCATTATTGAAGCACACTAGGATTCCTTCAGTTTTTACTTCATGCCCTTCTTATTGTCCAAGATGCTATCCAGAACCACATTGAGTTGTTGGGTCTCAGGCCCCTCTTAGCAGTTTGCCACTTTTTCCTTGGGTTTGGTGACCTGGATGGTTTTGAGGTGCGCTATTCAAGAACTTTGTAGAGTGCTCCTCTCTTAGAGTTTTTTTTTTTTCCCTGACGTTTCTCTTGAAATTAAACTGGGATTGTGAACTTGGGGAAGGTCAAGAGCCATCTTGACCATATTGTATCATGGGGGCATTCTTTCGTCATGACTTGGGACTTCTGATGTTGACTGTAACTGCCTGTCTGAGGTGGCACTTGTTCAATGTCTATTGTAAAGTGACTATTCCCCACCCTATTATAGGATTGACATCACTGAGTGTAAGCTGCACTTTGGGCATGGATACACAGAGATCCTCTTCTGAGAGAGTAGATCCGGGTAAGATAACTGAAGTTCCTTTGCATGGAAGATTTATCTCTTCCTCTTATTTATTAATTTATCGAGCCGTTCATTTGTAGCAGCAGATTCATAGATATTTTATTCTTTGGGTTATAACTCAATACCACTTAATTTTGTGCCCTGGTTTTGGCAGGTTTTCCCCCTTGGAAACTCTTCCATTGAGGCCCATGCCACTTTGCCAAACCCCTCATGAGCGTGGGCTTAAGCTGTTTTTACGTTCACAGTCCGGCCTATGTGTTACGTCGATCTTTAATTTCAATTTCTTTACTTTTGGAACTGCATTTCCCCAGTCTTTTCTGTTTGTCCTTCCCTCACCTTTTTCTTTTTTTAACTTGTGATCCTCCTGCCTCCGCCTCTTTCAGCAAATCTTACCAGTGTGTGCCACCACAGCTGCCCCCCTCCCCTTTTCACGGGAACGTTTTACGTAGATTTTTATCACTTGCTTTCGTTTGCCTTTCAAGTTTTGAACTTAAAATTTTTATGATGTTTAGAATTTCCCAGAATATTTTACTGAGAGCATGACTCTGTAAAATTCTATTCCACCCACCCATTAAAAAAAAAAAAAAAAAAAAAAAAAAAAAAACCAACCTTTTTGGTGAAATAGGTTTAGACATGCTTTGCACTTTCAGAATTTCCACTGTTCTCCGATCATCATGGGACACATGGGCAGTTTTGAAATACTGAAGGCATCTATTTGGAGGAATTTGATTTCATCTGAGGTTGCCAGCATTGATTCGGCTATAGCTGCTTCAAAGAAGCACTCATTAAAGTGCTCTCTGGAAGACAGGTAGACAGTGGGGCCCCACGACCACCCCATTCCTTTATGCCAAATATTATGTGCATCAACAGACCTCCCCAGCCTAAAGGCTGCGCCTAGTTCCCCTTTCTGTACAGTTACTGTGCATTCTCTTGCTCATTTAAATCTTCACTCCACTGCATTCTTATTCTTCATTCAGTTTTCAAGAAGGCTAGCTGTCCCAGCGCTGTTTGGGGGAGCGTTTTCTGTTTCCTGTTGACTTGAAAGGTCACCATGCTTATTTATTAAATTTTACTAATCACTTGGATTTGTACATATTCAGAGCTTTTTAAAATCATTTTTCTGCCAGGTGTAGTGATGGATGCTGTAATCCCAGCCCTGAGACATAGATAGGAAGATCACAAGCTCAAGGCCAGCCTGATCTACATACTGAATTCCAGGTTAGCCAGGGCTATATTCGCAAGACCTTGATTTTTTACTTTGATTTATCATTTATAGCTGTGCTACACAGCTGTTCTTAGACTATAAAACCAGCTCTCTGTGTCTGTGGGTACCGTGTGTGTGTGTGTGTGTGTGTGTGTGTGTGTGTGTGTGTGTGTGTGTTCAATCAATCACAGACTGGAAATATTTGGGAAGAATATTGGTTGTGTATTGAATGTGTATTGACTTCTTTTCTTGACACTCCCTACACAATACAACATCCAGCTATTTGCATAACATTTCCATTGTATTGGGTTGTATGCAAATACCGTGCCAATTTTTGTAAGTGATTTGAGTATCCATGGATTTGGGTTCCCAGGGTCAGGGTGGGCGTTCAGTCACCACTTCCTTAAGTATTTCAAGGGGCCCCTCTAGTTAGTACACACCAAAACCTGAAGTCAGAGAGCCACTGACATCTCCATGGTATTGGGTTCTGACAGTCCTACTCTTTATGGTACTTGGAGATGGGATTTTTTTTTTTTTTTTGGTCTTTTGAGACAGGGTTTCTCTGTGGAGCTTTGGAGCCTGTCCTAGATCTCACTCTGTAGACCAGGCTGCCCTCGAACTCACAGAGATCCACCTGGCTCTGCCTCCACAGCCAGTGGAGTGTTGGGGTTAAAGGCGTGTGCCTCCACAGCCGGCCAGTGTTTATTCTTATTTATTGTATTATAAACCTTTCTCCCCCTCCTATGTGAGATACGTGTGTGTGTGTGTGTGTGTGTGTGTGTGTGTGTGTGTGTGTGTGTGTATGTGTGTGTGTGTGTAATCCTTCTGTGGTATATTTTTCTTTTCTTACATATAATACATATATTATTCTTTTGTGGCAAGGTCCCCCACTGAACCAGGAGCTAGCCTGGTGGCTAGCAGCCCCAGCAAGCCTCCCTTCTCCACTCCCTCCTCTCCTCACAGTACCGGGGTTATAGGCATGCATAGCTCCACCTGAATTTTTACATGGTTGTGGGGATTTGAACTCAGGTCAGGAAGCATTTCTAGTGCACTTTTATCTTGTTACTAAACTGAGTTCCTTGAAGGAAATATTTTATATTCTTAGTTCCTAGGATAATCTATGATCATGAATCAAATCCTGGTCCTATACAATACATTTAAAATTGTATTTCCCTAACAATCTTCTTTTAACAAAGACAGTAACAAGTATACAAATTCTAAGATAAATAAAAATACTTAGTTTTAGAATATTTGGTTTTTTTTATTTTATTTTTTTTTTTTTTTGGTTTTCCAGACAGGGTTTCTCTATGTGGCTTTGCCTTTCCTGGAACTCACTCTGTAGACCAGGCTGTTCTCAAACTTACAGAAACCCTCCTGCCTCTGCCTCCCGAGTGCTGGGATTAAAGGCATGTGCCACCACCACCTGGCTTATATTTTTTAAAATATGACTACCTTTAAATTATTATTTTCTCTATTGGAGTACCATAAATTAAGGGATAAGGTTTTCCAGCTTTCTTACCCTTACTAGAAGGCAACCAGAAAGACCAGAATTCCATCTTAGAACTGGTACCTGGGTTTTGGATAAATATTCTTTATTTTCAGCCATTTTGTATATTTTACAGATGCAGAAAATGCAGGGCATAGTTTTTTACATACCCCACACTTTGAGATTTTAAAAAGGGATAAGAAAAACTCTCTAGAGACACTTTACCAGCTGGGTTTCTTCATAGGTAGTAATTGTTCTTTGGGTCAACAGTGGAGAAAGTTGACCTTCTTCAGTGGTTGATTTTAGCTAGAGAAGAGCTGTGTTGTTGTTGGGGTGGGGGTTGTTGTTGCTGTTTTCGTTTTTGTTTTATTTTCAAGGCTGTTAAAAATCACCACACCTCCTTCCTATTGACCCCAGAAGTCCTGCCACAGTCCCAAGGGCTGTGAATGTCTGTGATATGTGAATTTATAATGCCATAGGAGATACCCCCATCTAAAGTCTCTGCCGAGTCACTCACCTGCTAATCCCCTTGTAAACTTTGGCATAAGAACCTTCGCCCAGCTTCTCCAAGTTCAAGTAAGATGAGGCTGCTCCAAAAGGGGGGCTCTTCTTCTGCTCACGGGGTGGGGTGAGAGGTGGGAAGACAGAAAAGGCACTTATAAATAATGTTGACTTGTCTTTCCCCAGAGGCATTAGATAGCTCTGTGTGTGTGTGTGTGTGTGTGTGTGTGTGTGTGAGAGAGAGAGAGAGAGAGAGAGAGAGAGAGAGAGAGAGAGAGAGAGAGAGAGAGAGAGAGAGAGAGACCCACACAGGCATCCCTGGAAGGTGAGGGTCAGCTTCCCTAGACAAGCACCCACAAAATTCTCCTTGATGCCCGTCAATGGCTCACTCACCCATGGCAACCCCTGCCTCAGATGCTCTTCCTGAAAAGAATCACTGTTACTCCGTGGCCTTTTACTCTCCAACTTCTGGCCACCGCCAGCCTGGCGTCCCCTGGCGTGAAATGAAGACTTGGAACACGATGCGCCTTTTATGTCCGTTAGCTAGAGGAAAAAAAGAAAGTACAGGAGCAAGGCGTGTACAAAGTCAACATTTGGTGGCTTTTCTTTGTTTTATTTGCCTGTTTGTTTTTTTTCTAAGCTTCCTCTACCCCCTAAAGGTACCTCTCCTGAAAGTCACCTTAGAGACCACCATGGTACCAACCGCTGAAATACTAAATTTCCCCTTCACCTGCACAATTTAACTCAGTCTCCTTGATGGGTATTTTCCAATTTCTGTTTAACTCAGTCTCCCCCACGCCCACCCACCTTCCTACATACTTAATGTGATGCCTTAGAATAATCTAGTAAGACATAGCTTAATAATCATGAGCTAATTACTGAAACTGAGAATCCACAGCGGACCTACCAGTAGGGCAGCTTACCCTCTGCAGTTTAGCCCTGCCATTTAGTGGCTCAGGGATGTCCGGAGAAGAACCACTTTCTCTATTTCAAGTCAAAGAGACCAAAGTCTAAGATTATTCTCCCTTTCTGGTTTACAAGCACATCCCAAAACTTGATAACTACGGCCATAAATCCTCTGTGACTTTAATAGAATTTTCTTTTTATGAGTTTAGACCTACCGCGGAGGAATCAGACCCTGGTACAAAAGGGAGCGTCTGTCTGAATTGCTTGGTTTACCAATAAAGAGAGATGCTCCTCCCGAGATACAAATACCTCCAACGCAGCAGCCTCGGCGCTCCCCGGCTGGCTTCTCAGACAGCTGTGCGCCTCCCCTCCCTCGGAACGGTGGTAGCAACTGCATCCTGGCTGTAGCCTCTTTGCACACAGCTCCTGACCCATAATAGTCCGGGTTCAAGGAGAAAACCCGCACTTGAACCTCTCCCCATCCGCCTCTCCTGTCCTCATTCGCTCCCTTTTTTGCCAGAGGTCAGCAGAGTGGAGCTTTCGTATGACTCACACGAGGGCTCTGTCTGGAGCAGCCTCATGACTTCAGCAGTTTTTGCTTATCAGTGCAAGGACCTACGCATCGAAACCGCAGCGGCTGGCGTTCATGTGTGCACACCCCAAAACAAGGAGGCTCTTACTGGACCGCATACGACTGGGCACACTGACGGCTCCTGCTCCAGCCACAAGTCCCCGCTGTGGCTACACTTGCTTTCAGGAATTTGCATTGACACAAGTTTATTGGGCTCCCCGGGCACTAAAGAGGCCAGCTGAGGAGCATTTTATCCTTTCTTTTGAGGCAATGTCTCCCACAATAGCCCAGCTACCCTTGAACTTGAAGCAATCCTTCTGCCTCAGCCTCTCCAGTTCTGGGATTGCAGATGTGAGCCGCCTGACTCAGGTTGGTTTTCTAACATTAAAACAAATTTGCAATCTAGCCAACTTTTAGAGTCAAAGAAACCACAGCACGGTAGGATGGGAAGAAAGCTGAGGATTCCTACCCCATCTCTGCCTCCGAGTTGAAGTACATCTCCTAGTCTGACAGGGAAGTCGTTCTTTCATTTATTTGAACACTACGTAATAAACACCTGTGTTGATGATCCTCCACAAACAGTGATGGGAGTCAAGGGTGGAGAGAGTTGGTGTGCACACTTGTAATCTCAGCACTCTGCAGGCTGAAGTTGGGGGATGGTGAGTTCAAGACTAGTGTGGACTATGTAGAAAGATTCTTTTTCAAATAAAGAAGAGCCGGGCGGTGGTGGCGCACGCCTTTAATCCCAGCACTGGGGAGGCAGAGCCAGGCGGATCTCTGTGAGTTCGAGGCCAGCCTGGACTACCGAGTGAGTTCCAGGAGAGGCGCAAAGCTACACAGAGAAACCCTGTCTCGAAAAACCAAAAAAAAAAACCCAAACAATCAAATAAAGAAGAAACGGAAGGAGGAGTGTGTGTGTGTGTGTGTATGACATAATATATCTTCTCATTTCCAATATCCCTTCCTCCCTTTAATATGCATATAGCTAATGTTTAGTGTATATAAATACCACATTAGGACTTGGCATTTCCAGGAATATGAACCAAACTGCTTTGTAGTCTGTGATCTTGGGCAGAACTTTTGTTCTGTGAGAGACTCATAATATTATTGCCATTGTAATATGCCAATCACAGGATGTAGGCTACATGTACACATGACATGTACAAAACTTTCTCTGAGAAAAAAAGAGTTGTTTTTTTTTTTTTTTTTTTTTTTTTTTTGGTTTTTCGAGACAGGGTTTCTCTGTGTAGCTTTTGTGCCTTTCCTGGAACTCACTTGGTAGCCCAGGCTGGCCTCGAACTCACAGAGATTCGCCTGGCTCTGCCTCCCAAGTGCTGGGATTAAAGGCGTGCGCCACCACCGCCCAGCAGAAAAAAAGAGTTTTATCTATTATCACAAAAGTATTGTGGTTATTTAACATCTGGACTTTCAGACACGAAATTTTAACTGTTATGGAATTTAATCTTGAGCATGTATTTTAAGTTTCATTTCAAAATTTCTACAAGAAAGTAAGGTATGGGGGCCCAAGCCTGTGTTTTCAGCACTTGGGAAACAAGAAAGAAGATTGCTATGAATTAGAGGCCAGCCTGGGCTACAGAGTGTCTCAGGACAAAGACAAAAAAGAGAAACAAATTGCTAGGTAAGAGCTAAGGCTAGCCTAGCCAATGATTAACTAAAATTTGAGACGTTTAGAAAATAAGAGAGACCAAGGCCACACACAGAACAGAGATGAGGCATAAAAACTGCTACACCTCAAAACCAGTTAACACCTGACTGACATACAGCTAACTGAAAGATCGTTTTTCCATCGTAATACATTTTCACTTATTCGTTATAACACATTTTCTCCGAAGTGCTCATTTTGGGTCTGGTGAGATGGTTCATTGGGTGCATGTCCCCACCATGCAGTCTGACCTGAGTTCAGTGGGACCACAGATGGAAGGAAGGAACTGACTTCGGCAAACTGTCTCCGGAACTCCCTGTGCGCACCATGACACATACACTTAATTAATAAACTAAGATGTTAAAAAAATTGAAGAACTGCTAATTCTTTCCTCAAAGAAGATTGTGGATTTTGTCACAGACAAATTACATCCTAGCTAAATGGGTGACACAGGCCTGGAGTCCCAGCACTCAGGTACCTGAGGCAGAAGGATCCTGAGTCTGAGGCCAGCCTGGACTACATATTAAGACCTTACTGAAAAACAAAACAAAAACCCTATGATCTAGGCCCGGATTAAGATAGTTTCATAAATTTTAGATTGGTGTGTGTATGTATGTTGGACAGCATTTCACTCTGTGTCCTGGCTAGCCTGGAATTCACCGTGTTGCTCACAGCAGCCTTCAACTTGTGGCAAGCCTCAGCTTCCCGGTTGCCAGAATTACAGGAGGCATACCATGCCAAATACATTTAAACAATTTTTAAATGACCAGCATTTGTGTTAGCTGAAGGGATTATATAGTTAACTCATAAATGTTTGAAAAGAATATCTGATTCTTTTAATTTTTTTTGTATATGCGTGTGCTTGTGTGTGTGTGTGTGTGTGTGTGTGTGTGTGTGTGTGTGTGTGTAGTAGATGGCTTCTTTCTTAAGGTTTAAATTGCTGTTTATGTACTAGAGAGGACTGTTGAAGGGAAACTGTAAAATGTTCAAAATTTTCAAAAATTAGATAATTCATGGTTTGCTGAAAGTCGAGGGGAAAAAAATCAGATGATTTTTTAAAGTGTTTCCTAGCTGTGTCCAAAACGATCATTTTTGTTACCAAAGATTTCTGAATAAGGACAGGGATTGAGATGATCTCCCAGCAAACTGTGCACCATGGCCGTTGATGCTCCAGACCTTCCTAGCCCTGGTGAACGTCCTAGAGGCTGCCCGGCCTGCTGCAGCTGCAGGCATGCGCACTGTTGCTGCTGCCCCTGCGGAGAGGAGCTGCCAGTATGAAGCTGATTGACAGCGAGAAGCCCCTGTGCCTGCTACCAGCCTAAAGGAACAGACCCAGACAGCAGCTCCAGGGCCAGGGCTCTCAGCTGTGCAGCAAGAGCCCTCAGGCCAGCTCAGAATGGCTCCCTCCTGTGCATCGCGCTCTTCCTGCCCCTCCTCTGTTTCCCGGGCTTGCATTTACCGCTCCTCCTCTTCCTCGTCAGCCTTCCTTCCTTCCAGGGAAGCTGGGTTAAGACAAATGGTAGCATCCGTTCGTTCATTCATTCATTTACTTATTTACCTATCGATTTGGTGTTTTGAGAAAGTCTCATGTAGTGTAGACTGGACTTGAACTTGGTATTGTAGCCAAGGATGCCGATGAATTCCCTGACCCCCCTGCTTCCACCTCTGAGTGCTGGGATTACAGGTGTGCGTCCCACACCCGGGCTGCCTTTTTTTTTTTTTTTTTTTTTTGTACTTAGCAATAAAACTGTAGTCTATTGATAATTTCAGCTTAGTTTCTCTATCATATTTTGACAGTCGCTTTTCCTTTCTCAAATATTGTGAATTCAAATTACTGTGTTTATTTGAGAGTTTGCGTACTTCTCCCATTTCCATTCTGCTGTTATTAAATTTCACAATTTTGGGGGGGGAGGAATATGATCTAATAATTTGTGGGTAATCACAGACGTTCCACAGTACTAACATGAAAAGTATGGTCAGAAATGTTGAAAATAATCTCTAATACCCACACAATGGAATACTAATGCTCAGAGCTAGAATGAGATCTTTACTTAATGACAGAGTGATCATCACGGTACACTGTTAAGTGAAGAAACAAAATGAAGAACGATGTCTGTAACATGTTACTCCTATCCTCAGGAGATGAGACAAAAGACCCCAAGGTGTGGTGGGGATCCAACCATTGCATCAGTGTCCCACTCTACCGAGGTGATAGCTCATACCTTGTAACCCCAGCATTTCGGCAGCCGAGGCAGGAGGATTGTCATAAGATTGATGATGGCCTGGAGAAATAGCAAGACCTTGGGGGCTTGGGGGGAAGGCAACACAAAGGAGCTGGTGTTGTAAGTTTACAACACACAGGAAGACTGAGGCAGGAGGATTTCCAGTTTAAGGCCAGCTTGGGTTACATAGTCAGACCAGACACTCTATCAAAAACAAACCAAGACAGACAGACAGACAGACAGAAAACCCTACAAATTAAATAAATAAGACACAATAGACATATGTAACAATGTAACATGATAGATGACATTTTGGATTCTGATTCTAATAAATCAATTGCAAAATGACATTTCTGAGAACAGCACGAAGGTTTAAACATCGCATTTGATTATTCTAAGAACTTATTTTTAATTGGCATGGTTATTAAAAACAATCCTGTAGTTGGAAATGCATGCTGAAGTACTTATGAGGGGAATGGGAATTTCTAGGCTTACTTTAAAATATTGCAAAAAAAAATTAATAATGCTGGGGAGAGAAAACACAAAATTATGAGGGTGGATGCTTATGTGTACATTATATATTTATCTGAAAATGTCACTATATATCAGTACCATGTATAATGAATACACAGAAGGAAGACTTTTTTGGTGTATGATGTATGAGGGTGTACCTGCTTATGTGGATTTGTGCATGTGTGCATGTGAGTGTCCACGTGTATGGAGGCCAGAGGTTGATGTTTGCTGTCTTTCCTCAATTGTCACCACTTTTATTCTTTGAGATATGGTTTCTTGCTGAGCCTGAGGCTTGCTGATTTGTCTAGACTGGCTTTACTCACTGGGCTATCACCCGCCCCCCCCCCCCCACACACACATTGAGTTTACAGGTCTGTACCACCATTTGGGATTTTTTATATGGCTTCCAGGGATCTGAACTTGGGTCTGCATGCTTCATCCTTCTTGTTAGAATGAGTGAGCCCCCCAACAAGCTTCCCCCGCAAGGAAATTAAAAAGAAAAAAAAAAGATTTAAAGTAAGTAAAGAAATAAAAATACCAGTCACCAATAAAGTCATAAAAAAGTAAAACAAGACAAA